GAGGGCAGGGGCCAGCCCCACACGGACACACCAGCTCCTGGACCGTAGTCTGAGGAGGCGGGCAGGTCCTGGAGGCAAAGGAGGTGAGTGAGCAGTGCCCCTGCAGGGGGTACCGATAGGTCCCGAGGGCAGCCGTGTGTGCGTGTGCGTGTGTGTGAGACAGAGCAAAGGACTTCGTGTGGGCACCTAATGGCCTCACCTCTCCTGACAAAGGTGGGGGTTGCTGTCATTTGCCAGTGCGGGGCTGTGTGATGGCGCATCACTGAGGCTGCGTCCTGTGGGACAGGCCTTGGGGGTGGGGGTTGTAGGCCATGTGAGTGCCGCGGGGATGGGCTGCGTGGGGAGTCACGGTGTGCCAGTGCTGGGAGGTAAGGGCGTGGCCTCTTGTGTCTGGGGGCGTGGCCTCTGGCGCACCACCCCGAGGGCGTGGCCCCGTCCAGGCCTCGCCTTTGACGCGGCCCCTGTACGCAGGCGCGGCGGGGGAACTGGAACCGCGGGCCACGAGGGGGGGGGACCTGCCAGCAGATGCTCATGCGCCTAGGCGGCGGGACTACCGTCACCTCCACTTAGACCCTTGGTGGCAACCCGTCTCCAGCCGCCTCCACCCCATGCGCCTTGTGTCCTGGGCCAGAGCCCCGACGGCCGAAGGCAGCGTCAGAGACCCCGGCCTTCCCGGCTCACTCACAGCTGCACCGTCCCTGGGGGTGGTAGACCCTCGAGGACTTTCGCTTGTCCTGGGAGGCTGGAGGGCCTCGACCCCGCCACCCCAGGCAGCTCCCCAACCCGGGGAGCGGCGGCCAGGTTGGTGCTGACCTCTGGTGGCTGATCGGGGAGTTGCAGTGGCTTGTGGCTATCTTGTCTAGAGGGAAGAGAAGGGGACAGTACATCGAGTTCTCCGGGCGGCTTGGCTCTCCTGGCCGGCAAGGCCTCTCTCCCTTATGGGTAGCCTTGTACATAACATGGAGTGGGGTGCGCCAGCCTCGTGGCCTCTGAGGCTCACGTGCTATTTTGCTCTTTGCAGACTATATTTTCATAGGTTGAGTTTTGTACAGAGAATAAAAATGAGATTATTTATAATCTGAGTTTTGTTCCTTAGGCGGGCATGCTGGCTAGTCTTCCTGGGATACCCTTGCCAGCTCCTAGGCAAAGGCTTCCCACCCCCACGGCCACAGGCACCTCCTGAATGACCAGGTCTGGGGGGGCGGTCCTGGCTGGCCTGCCCGTGTGTTTGGGCTGCTACTCTTTGGGCCTTGATGGTGATGGCGGGGTGGGGACAAGCCATGGTCCTCAGGGACTTGTGACAGGAGCTACAGCCTGGGTCCCCCTGTAATGGCCATCTCTCCCCCACCTGCCGTTCGCACATCTGGGGGTTTCTGTCATCGCCCAGCCCTCCCCCCCCTGCCGTTCGCACATCTGGGGGTTTCTGTCATCACCTAGCTGGAGGCCGCGTGGGGGAGGTGATGCGGGAGTGGGACCCCCAGCCCTCCCTCCACTCCCCCCAAGCCTGGCCCAGGCTCCCAGCGCAGGCCCCAATGCACAGGCCGCAGACTTCCAAAACAATCGTCGTATCTTTATTGACTTTTTTTTCTGAATGCAATGACTGTTTTTTACTCTTAAGGAAAATAAACATCTTTTAGAAACAGCTCGATACACACAATCTTCAGTGTGAAGCAATATACTAATAAGAACACTAGTCTTAACATTTACAGTCTTCATATATATTATATATATGTATATGTATACATATATATACACTATATAACGAGGCCGGGTATAATACACACGGTTACCATTTTACAGTCCTATGTACACAGGTTCTAGGGCGGCCGCGGCTGGGGCTGCGTAGACAGAGCTGAGGACACAGACGGACAGGCGACGGACTGGCGAGGGCTGGGCCGGCGGTGGTGGCTGCGTGGGGCAGGGGCACTGAGGTAGCCCCCTGCCCGGCAAAGGCCCGGTCGGGGCTCTGTGCTGCGGGGCGCACGACGCACGGCGGCGACACACGGGAGAAGCGAGCATGTTCCCAACATATATACATTCTATGTAACATATATATAGAGGGGTACACAGGTTTTGTACACGAAATCTAGAGCCGCCCCTGCTCCCGTGCCAGTGGGCGCTGCAGTCCCGGCGGCGGGCAGTGGTGCAGAGGGACCATCGCGCGCGCACCACTGACGCACAGGTGGCGGTTCCGCTCCTGCGCTCCCGGGCTGGGGCGGAGGACAGGAAAGGTGACGACCAGAAGCCCAGGGGTGCCCAGTCCCGCCCGCACCCGGGGAGCCCGCATCCCCGGAGCACAGGTCCGAAGCGCAGTTGGGCTGGGGGGGCAGGGCGCCTGGACTTGTCAATGGTCTAAAGCCGCCTCTGGCTTCTCATCGGCCTTGCCCTCTCCAGACGGCGGCTCCCCGCACCGCGCTGGGAGCCGCCCCAGCCTCACCAGGACGCCCCGCTGCATGCCACGACCCGGGTGGTGGCAGCACCCACGTGGAATGTGCGCCACGTCGTCTTGGAACTTGGAGGGGCGGGAAGTGTCCCCAGGGCAAAGCTGTTCCCCATCCCCGCCGGAGGCCGGATGCCCAGGAGTCTGGCCGCTCCATAGGCGCCCCCTCTCCAGGCCTAGCCCCAGGGGTGTGGGCAAGAACGTCCTGTGCCGTCCAGTTCCCGGAGCAGGCGGCTCCGGAACGGGGTTCTTCCCAACCGGGGGCCGCCCTGGGCGGCCGGATCCAAGATCCGGGACCCGGATCAAGGATCGGCTCTGGCCCCGCGCTGGGAGCGGCTCCAAAGCCCAGGGGCGCCCAGGCCGCGCCCCGCCCCAGCCGGGCGCCCGCGGGGCTGTGCGGGGTGGAGGGTCTCTTTTTGCTGGTGGCAGCGGAGCCCCACCTCATTCTTTTTCCTTCTTCTCCGGGTCATTCCCAAGTCC